AGGGGGGGGGGAGGAAATAACATAATTTCTCTCTGCATCTCCTCATGTGACTACTTGTTCCGTGAATACTGCCCCTTTTCCCCAGTGATACCTTCCTGGGCTGGCAATACCATTTTTTGTGCCTTCTACTGGAGCAAGTGTTAATAGCCAGAAGTAGCCCCAACGATGCGGCTGTGAATGTCCACCATGTACAGAGATGTCAGCGTGCGTGGGTTAGCGGCGGCCTCCGTAGGATCCCCGTGAAGTTTTGGCAGAAGCTACGCTGCTTTCTCCTTCCCTGTCACCGTCGATGTTCTTCTCAGGTTTTCCTTGACTTTAATGAATTCTGGTGCATGGTCTTCCTGCTTCTCCTGCTCTTTCTCCAACTGTAAGAACGAAGAGTCACCATTATCTGTGCATACTAAAGGACAAAAGTGCATTAGCTGCATTAAAACAGTAGCCTTCAGCATTGCTGGGTGTCCAGTTATTACTGCCCAGAGTTTAGTGAATGTGTAGTGCCCATGTCAGTGCTCTCTTTTTTCTAAACCATTACACCAGAGCCATGTTTATCCTTAGTCTCTTTTGTGTCCCACTGAAACATTAATTTTATTTTTTTTTTTCCTCCAAGGAGGAACATCTCCAGCAGAAAAAAGCAGGGGAGTGCTTCACCTCAGGCCTGGCATGGAAGAGGGAAGAGGAGGTTTGAATCCTTCCCAGCAAAAGAGGTCTGTGAGCCTGGGAAAAGCTCTCAGCATTAGGTTATTGTCTAAGGGGGGGGTATAAGTTGTACTGCCTCACTTTTATATGCAAAGTCTTTATGGATCTATCCCTAAACCACCTTGTTTCATATTCCTGGTTCTTCTCTGAGAGTGTTGGGCTTTGATTTTCAAGTGATCCTGGCTTTGGTGGTATTATTGCAAGGGAACTATTGTGACATTGATTAAATAAGCTATTTTCATCCATTTGCAGTGCAAATATGAGCATGTAGGAGAGAGAATGGCTTTAGTTTCAGTGGCAACGAGCTTCTTGCACAGGTTTGGGTAAGAGGACAGAGGCAGAGCACCCAGGGCGTGGCTGTGCTCCTGACAAGCACCCATGCTGAATATTGCTTTCCCCAGAAATATTTTTGGCCAGGGTACATGCCAGGAACTGCTCCCAAAAGCAGGGTGTGATTGCAGCAGGGCTTGCACCTTCCAGGGCTCCCACAGCCTCTCACCCCAGGGTCCTGAGCACCCCTGTGGTAGGTGCTGCAACAGCCCCCCTCTGTGCTTTTTTGGGTGCTTTGAACTGGAAAACACACCCCAAGGACACCACATGGGACCTGGAGGAGCCCCAGGGCCAGTGGTGTGTGGTGGTGGCTCTGGGCAAGGTGGTGCAAGGTGGATCCCACTGCGAGGGTGAGGGTGCTGCAGCTGCATGGGGCAGCGGTGCAGGACGTACTTGGCTTCTGTTTTATGGAGAAACAACAGTGCTCTACCTTGGGTTGAGCCTCAGTCCACCCACCTCCCCTGTGGCCTGTGCCTCGTGCGGGATGGTTAGGATAACCTGGGGATGGCTGAAAACTCAGTTCTACCTGATCCAGCCTCTGGTGCCTCTTTAGTAGCTCTTTTTCAAAAGGGGACTGCAATTTCTTTGCCTCTTCCTCTTCCTTCTTCTGTCTGATGAGCTGGTTTCGCCGTCGGTGCTCGAGCACCCGCTGCAGCTCTGGTTTGCTCTCCATGCTCAAACCCCTGTGGATAAAAAAGCAGATAAATCAGGGCCAGAGCACTTACACCCTGGAGTGTAACTACTGCCAGCCCAGCAACCCCAAAACTCTTTTTGCTTCTAAATGGAAACACGGGAGACCTGCTCTACAAACCCGTCCTGCCGTCCCTTAGTGCTGGGACCTGCCTTGGGCTGCCAAGCGCTGTGTTTGCTGTCCGTGATGGGGCTTGTGGTGCTTGGGAGTTTTTGCTAATCCCATTGCATTGAGGTGACAGAGCTTTCTGGGTCAGGTGTGGAAATGGGACCTTCTGTCGGCTCCTGCTGTTGTTCGTTTTAATTATGTCAGTGACGGATTCAGCTGCGTTGAGGGCATTTTAAATAATGACGATTTTTTTTCCACCAGCAGGGGTAGTCATTGATCTGCAATAATTGTCCTGGCAGTTCCTTCCCTCCCCGTTGCATCCCAGCTTTGCTTCAGAGCTGAGGGCTTGCCATCCCTCTGTTGACATGGAGAGTTTGGGTCAAGAGGCCAGAATGAAATGCCCTTTTCTGCTGGAAGCCAGAGTTTTTGCCGATGGCACAGGCACCTGGTTCCCCTTCGGCCACCCGAAGCATCTCGGATGCAGTGGGGCTGCTCGGAGCCCTGCTCTGTGACGGGAGGCACCAAGGCAGGGATAACGGCAAGGGCATGCAGGCAAGGCAGAGATACGTGGTAGAGAGATGAAAGAAGTTCTCCAAACAAATTTCAGAAAACTAACACTTTGAATATTGCCATGCCTGAATTTAGACACGGAGATTTACCTCCTGCAGCTGACCCTGGGCACCTTCCCACCAACTTCTGTGCCCCTGGAAGCCTGGGAGCAGTGATGGATGTGTAGGGCTGAGGGTGGATGTGGAACAAGTCCAGATGTGCTCCTGCGTGGTCGTAGGATGGTTCTTGCCCTCCAGGATAGCGGTTTGACCAACTCATCTCCTCTGGAAGGAATCTGCCTTTGTCAAGTCCATCAGCTTCCTGGCTTAAATCACTAAAAGCAGCGACTCTGCCCCGCCGAGCCCTATCCAGAGAGAGGCAAAGCCCAAAGCTGCTGGGAAGTCAAACATTTGCTGAATTTTTGCACAGAATTTTTTCGTGTCACTGAAGAGCAGATTACTAAGAAGTGGTCAAGGCCGGTTTACGCAGGTTATCTTCTGCAATAGCAGCTGGAATGTAAATAATCTTGCACGGAAATACAGGACTAGAAGTAGCTGACTGAAGTTGTGGTTTTGAGGAGGAGTTGAAGACCTCACAGCGGTCACGCGCAGGGCAGGAGTGGGGCCTGACTGCTTTCATGAGCTGGGTTTAACACTGGGTTAAATCGATCAGCTGAGAGCATTTACCAGTCGCAGTGTGAAGTGTGGGGTGTTTGGTGTGCCTGGGGGTGAAGCTCTGTTTTGAGGCGAGGAGGGGAGCTCCCCATGTCTGTGCTAAGGGCTTGCCCAGGGCACGGCAGGTTGCTGTGCACTATTAACGCCAACCTGCTGCTCTCCAGCAGTGGGAGGTTTCTCTTGACCAAAAGCTGACTGGTTTCTGCTAAGGTCGTTTGAAAGCAGAGACATCATACCTCACATCATGAGAAACTGAACTGGCAGGCAGGAGAGGGAAATGCTCTCTAGATGCAGCAAACCTCTGTGCTGTCACAGCATGGCTGGGGACCAGTGCTTGCATCTTTCCAGTGCCAAGTTTAACGGTGCTTCCTATTGTAATTTATTTTTTTGCTTTATGACAGGACAAAGTTCATGGCAACATCAGTGAAGGTAGCTATAGCGTTGGCCTCGAGCTTTCATGATGGTTTTTCAAGGCAGGAAGAACCTGGATGCTGCAGAAGTGCTTTTCCCAAGGCTTGAGAGAAGGCAAACCTGCCTTGGCTTGCTGGAGACACAGCTCACAATGGTGCCTGTGGATTTGTTCCTACGCTCTGATTAAATCAGCCTGTGGTGTTAGTATCCAGAGGTGTTGACTAAGATAAGGGTTTTGTTGCACAAGCTGCTGATTTGAGTTGCTTCTTCTTGCTGCTTAAGGGGGAAAACCAACAGCAAAGCAGAAACAGGAGCAAGTCATAGATCCTTCCCTCTCCTTTTCTCCCTGCTCTCCCTCTATAGTAACATGTAGCAGGAAGCAAAGCTGGTGGATTTGAGAGTGAGAAGAAACCAGCAATGATGGATTATTGTTTGCAGTAGGGTTTGTTTCACATATTTGCTGAAAAATATTTGGGAGGCCAGAACCAAAGCAGGTTTAAACTGATGCCTGAGATGTACGGGACTATAAGGAGAGGGGTCAGGAGATGCAGGATGGCTGCAGGGGAGCTGCCTCCTGCCACTCTCTGATGGCACATACGGATGTAACACGGTGTCAGACGCAGAACTACAACACGAAGTGGCGATGTACTTTTTGTTTGCCAGTTGGAAGTTCAGCTCAGTGTGATGCTCCGGGGTCTGTACCCTGTCTGCCACCATTCGTCTCTGCTACCTCTGTTGCAGGGATTTCTTGATTCTTTGTTCCCTCATGGCTAGGCTGGAATAATGTTCTCTGAGATCAAAGCCAATGCTGGTGGTGAGCCTTTAAACCGAGCTGTATCACTAGGCAGGGTATGGTCACTCTCAAGCCAGAGAGTTTTAGAAATATCTGCTTGGTATAGTTACCTCTGCCTTGATGCCAGAGAATGGCCTGGGTATGGTCCCTGTAATTCTTGTGATTCTGGGAAAATCAAATCAAACCCAAGCCTAGGCAGTGCCAGTATTGATTAATGCACCCTGCTGGCAGGCTTGATTGCTGAATTAATGTATGTGTCTGGTTCTTGTGAGGACTCTAGTCCTTTTGAACAGAGGCTCTGCTCCTTTTAATTAGACGGCCAGAGTGCTATCGTGTCAGAATATTTCAGGGTGTTCAGAAAATGTCAATATAAAGCCAGAGGATTTCTTGCTGTGCTAAAAAGCCTCTGAACTGAATATTCTTTTATTGCACTGACATTCAGACAGTTGCCACAATGGTGTGGTTATAGGTTTTCAGTCACTGGTGTTTTCCTGATGTTGCATCTGTACCCCCAAAGAGTTAAATTGGGGTGATGGGGTAGGACGTCAGGAATGTGAATTCTAGACTTTCCTTACCTGTTTGATTTTTAGGGAGAGAGTGTTTAGCCTTCTCCTTGTAGAGATGATCTCACTCTGGTGCTCTCCCAGCTTTCAATGGCTCCATCCAGCCCACACCAATTCCTGCCTCTGGGTTGACCTTAAAGCACACAGGAACGCTGCACATTGCTGGGGACTTGGCAAGTCAGGGATGGAGATATAGAAAAAAACCGGGACCGGGGAGAAAATACGTGTGGGACACCAAGAAAGGGGCTGTAGGGATGCCTCTCAGCTTCCACTGCCTGTGGCTTGAGGTGGGTACAAATATCAAGCAGCTCTGAGAAGTGCTAAGTGATGCTTCAGGATGGCAGAGCAGGGGGCTTCTCGTTCTGCTTTTGTTTTAAAAGAAACTATCACATCAGAGAAAAGAGGAAAGGGCTACAGCGAGTTTTACACTGTGTTTGTGTGCAAGTGAAGGGATTTATTGTGCCCTTCCAACTTGCGGGCCGTCGCTAGCGTCCGTGCCTTGGCTGCTGAGCCCCGACGGCTCAGCACCTCTCAGACCTCTCCAGTGGCAGGCTGCAACCTCCTCTTACCTTCTGTGGTTCATCAGCAGCTCTCTGTGCAGCTCCTGGTGGCTCTTCGAGGCTTTTACAGGATTTAGGAGCTTTTTAGGTTTTATGAGGTCTGGGTTTCCATCTATGTAGTCGGGCTGATTCAGGATATTCCCACTGTCTGGTTGCTCCCGCTGTATTTCAGTGTACATCGATGCTGGAAGGAAAGAGAGGTGTTGGCATGAGAAGTCTTACCCTGCTGTGTTGTGGGAACTTGCTGGAGCTCTCCTCCCCTGGGCAAGACAGAGGAGAAGAGATAGTGCCTGCCCAGCTGCTCGGCACCCGCGTCGGTGTCAGTCTGCACGTGCCTCCATGTGCTGGTGTGGGCTTTTTAGATGTAGTAAAAAACATTCACTTTGGTTTTTTTGATAAGCCACATATCAATTAGATGACTTAAATTATTTGTCAGTCGCTTGCTTCCGTGGCTGCAGCATTTAGTGCCAAGGATTAATTAATGCAAGATAGGTCTAACTAAAACTGGAAACAACCATGGGTGTGGACGATGCTGAGCCGCTGCCTTGGCCATCCTGGCTGAGGCTGCCAGTCCCTTAGCACAGGGGGATGCTGTGGGATTTGAAGGGCCTGAGGAAGTGCTGCTGTATCTGAAACCTCTTGTCAAGGAAAGATTTTACTGATACCCTGCAGGCCTAATAATCAGGATCGAGCCCAATGCCAAGAAAAGCATCATTCGCCCATGCACCATGTAATTGCACTGTAATAATTTGTATGTTCTGGATGTAAGAACAAGAACCCACTGTTTTGGAAGCGATGGCAGCTTGGATTTCAGGCAAACCACAGGACACATTCACTGTTGGTATTTTGCAAGTGCTCTACATTTCTTCTTTACAAAAAAAAAAAAAACAAAAAAACACCCTACACAAAGTGAGCGCAAAGCACAAGCTGTAAGACAAACTGCGTGCGGTGGGCTGTGTCTTTAAATGCAGAGCACAGTGGGGCTGCCTACAATTATTCAGTGTACGGTCTAATCAGGGACTCAGAAAGAGCAATTTATTCCTGGCTATTCATTTGAACAATTTGGAAGGTTACCAGTAAGAATAAAAAGTCCCAGGAAAAGGGTGTAGGCAGCTCCATGTCTGTAAGTGTCTCGTTATTACAGTATTTTTGGGGGCCTAGTGTGAAGCTATATGGGTTGGTAGAGCAGCAAGGAAAACAGTTGTTCAGTAACGTTGCCTCTCGCTCTTATTGCAGTCTCATGTATAAAAGGAATAAAATCCTTTTAAAAGAGAAATCAATAAAAAAAGGCAAGAGAAAGCAGGCTAGGTCATTCTTTCTTAGTCGGTAAGTACTTATCAAATGTGAAGTGGATTGCAATCAAACAGGATTGTGTAAGGAATAATACTGCTGAAGAAATGATTCAATATCAAACAACTTCTCATTGAATGTTAATGTGGCTGGTGCCCTACTGCTTTGGGAACAAAGAGAAACAAATCAGAGCCCATTACAGGGGTGTAATTGGGGTGAATAGTTTGGTCCGTATTTAAAGGGTGCTTGGAAGCTGAAACTGGTGATTTCTTGTATGAAATGATTTTCCTCTAGGATCATACATCACTGCTGGCAGAAGGGGAGGTGGTGTGGTTTGATGTTTGATGGCAAGTGCCAGGCTGACTCAAACCCCTGCGGGGCCAACCCCGCAGGCTGAAACTGGGGGCTCAGCATCGCCTTCCAGAGCCTGAAGGTCAAGGGTTAAGGCAGCACAATTTACAGCTAATTTTTGTTAGGTGAAAGCCAGCTTTTGAACAATGAAAAAACGTTTTGACTGGGGTAAAATTACTTTGGTTTGTTGTTTTTTTTTTTTCCCTTCTTCTTTTTTTTTTTTTTTTTTTTTTTTTTTTTTTCCACAGAAGAGGCAGACAAAAGACAAGGAAGGAAGGTACAAAAGCAAAGGTTTGTTTTGGCATGAATGAAATGGATGAGCTCTCATTTCGAATGGCAAAGCAATGTCTTCATTCTTCAAACAAAAAAGTCTCTCCGTGGTGTAACTTTAATAAAATGCCAGGTGTTTTTAAAGGAAACGCTGGTTTTGGGCAGCTTTACTAACAGACTAGCCTCAGTGTCGCTCTGTTATCCTGTTGCCCTTTTCCCACCGTTCCTGTGCTGTCGTTCAGACCAGAGCTGCCTCCAGGGACAGAGATGCCCGTGCTGCTTGCTTGTGTGCTGGGTATCAAATCCTGCCGCACAGCAGGAGAAGGGCTGGGGCTATCAATTTTGGATTTGTCCACCTTAAATCCACCTGTTGTGCTCCGTTGGGGGATAATGCAGCGGGCAGCGAGTGTGGAAGGATTACATGACCAACCAAGCCTGAAGGATCAGCCTGGATGCTGTAAAAGGCTGTAACTCCAGTGACTTTGGCATTTTTTTTGCTATTCAAGTAGCTCTCAGGCCCCGCTGCTAAGCTGTACTAGCTCTTGGGGCACTGGTGCAGCACCGTTACTTATGAAGTCCTGTTTTCCCCCCGCCTCCATGATGTACAGGCTTTCTTTTGCACTTCAGGAGTGGGAATCCCTTCTTCCAAGACCCAGATCCTGGGAGAGTCGCTCAGGGCAGGCTGTCCCACATCCGCACAGGGCTGACTCCCAGCAGCGTACAACGCTATTGCACGGCGTCACCCAGCCCTTCAGTTTGGTCTCGTGGTGTTTCCACCCCCCAGACACCCAGCATGATGAGGGAAGGGCCCCTCCCTGCCTTGGGGGACCCCCTGCTCATGCAGCATTTTGGGGGGGGGCACCATGGCGAGCCTGAAGGTTTTAACTTGGCTAATGTAGTTATTTCCAGACTGCAGCAATCTCACGTTGCATGGCTGCGGCTTACAAAGAAGCGGCAATTTATCAATTTATTTACTGAAGGCAGATGGGGAACTTTTCCCTGAAATTGGTAGAAATGAAGAAAATACCGGGAAGGAAGGAGTGGGAGGAACTGAAACCAACTGGAAGCATTTCTGGCCAGGCGGCTCTAAATCAGCATGCAGAAGTCCTCACAGTGAGCGCAGTCTGCCTGCACAATACTGTGGGGGCCAGGCCACAGCAGGTAGCTCTGAGCTTGGTTCTCACTGTGCTCGCTGTGCCCAGGGGTGTGCAGACCTCGAGGGTTTGGCTTCCAGTGGGTGTCTGTGCTGCTGCCTGCCTGGGGGACAAAGTCAAAGCCCCAACCTTGTCCCTGAGCAGGACTGCAAGGAGCCTTGAACCTCGCTTACAAAAATAGCACTTGTAAACCTTCAGAAGACTTCGGTCTGAAACAATTCAAGGAATGTCTTCATCTGCATTGAGCAGAAAAAAGAAAAATGAGAATATAAAAATATTGGTGAGCCTGGAACACAGCTTGGGGTTATGCTGGGAGTAAGGACGGGGCATCCTTTCTCCTGCGGGTTGGCAGATAGGGACCCAGTGCAAAATGTTTCTTGTGGAGTAGATCTATCATCTTCAAGACCTAATGTAATTCATGTCCATGTAAGGGGAGACAGACTGCTATCAGGCTGCTTTTTGTCATTATTTATAGTGCTGGAGGTATAAATCAAGCCAGGTCTCTGCAGTGGATTTACAGCAGGATGTCTGGTTTTGCATGATTCAGCCGTAGATCAATGAACAAGGCTCTGCTCTGGCACCTCCTTGGCCACCATCATAAATCAGCGGAAGGTGTTAGACATTTTTATATTGTTCTTGGCAAGATATAAACAAAAAAATACACGTGCATTTTAATACCCTCTGCTGTACTCAGAAAGACAGCATGACCTTTTACATAGATCTGCTTTTGGATTGTTGCTTGTAAAAAGTAGATGTGTTTGCTTTGACATACTCAGTCTTTTGCTTGCTTTTAAATATTTTTCCCTTTCCTCGTTTCTAGAAGCCTGAGTCTTTCTAGGAAATGTACATTTTCAAGCAACTTTTCTGTAAGTAAAAAGAAAGGCTGCCTGGATGAGGAGGTCGGGGCCACTGGCAGATCCTTGGACTTCATGCGTGGTATTATCTCCTCTCCCAACTGTAGCTGTGAAAAGGGCTCCCAGTCTCGGTTAGTTTTCTAGGAGACCTCACAGGGAATATTCAGCATCTTGGAGATGGCCCAGGGACCATCCCAGGGTGTGGGACTGGCTGGAGGAGATAAATGACATTTTAATATTTTGGTCTGTTCTGACCTAAAGCAAAGCCCAAATTCCTGCTCAGACCACCTGGAAATGCTTATAAATCCCCCAATTCCTGGGAGACTTGTGATAAAATCCTCAGTCTGCAATCCTCGGGCAAATTGTTTCCACTTGTGATTATGCTTAGCCCCAGTCTTTTGGGGAAGAGGCTATCTGGCAGTTTTGGGGCGATATTAAATGCATTTGAAAAACTGAATGTTGCAAATAATGCATTAAACTGGGGCGTAGAACACGGTGTGCCACTCGGGGTGCTGAGCGGCTTTTGTGCAGCCCGAAGGAGAGAGGTTTTATTCTGCTCCTGGAGAGGAGGAGGAGGACTGGCTCATGCCCAGGGACAGGCATCAGACATGGGGGCTTGGCTGCGCCCGGAGCTGATCTACAATTCCCTTCGCTGCTGCTGCTTTTTGGTTTCCTTCACACAGAGGAGATGCCCTTCACAGAGTGTTTATTTAAGATTAAGCGACTTGTCTCTCCGCGGTGGGTTACCCTGTGAGCCCCTCTGCGTCGGGAGCACGTGCCATGTGCTGCTCCCTGGGCTGCTGCTGGCATCCTGCTGCACCGTCCTGTCGGGATGGAAATAATCCCCAGGAATGTTAAGGGGATTAATGGCCCTGGAAAGGGCAGGTAACCTGAGGGGTCCAGCTCTGCTTATGGCTGGCTGCATGGCTCCAGCTGCTCTTCACAAAGGGAAAACCAAGAGAAACTAAAAAGAAAATTAATCCATAGCTTCTGGGTTTAGAAAGTTGTAGGGTGGAGGTCTGGTCTCCTACCCAGCACCTCTCAACTCGCAACTGTATGGGAAAACAGAGGGTGCGGCAGGACACCCGCTGGTTTTTGCAGGTTTTCATGTGAAATGCCTCCTCCTCGATGTCCTGCCCCTCTGTGACCCTCTTGCCCTTCCCCTGTGCATCTACAGCCCTTTTCCGTGCCACCTGCAAACCCGGCTCTGCACGTGCCCTGCCCCATGCACTGCTGCCCTCTTGCTTCTCAGCAGCCTTAACTTGCAAAGCTGTTGATGCTGTCTTCTACAGTACAGGTCAGTGTTACCTTGAGCTGAAATCTATAAAGCAAACATAGTTTGGCGTCTTTTATTTCAGCTGTTTGTGTCATTTGAGAACTGATTTTCCAACTAGAGCATCTTGGAAGAGGTTGGTCAACAGGGACAGATGATGACCAAAGTGCTCTTGTTAAAAATATTGCATGGGCATCCCTTCCTGGGCAGAGAATGGGCCTCTGGGAAATGCCATCCACATAAAACCAGGCAGAAGGCATTACTATGGGAATGGGATCCAAGCTCAGATGGTATTGCTATTTGTAAATCTATGAAACCCTGTTACTTAGTAGAAAGGATGAGACTGGGCAAAAACCTCAGGTCGGCCCAGGTCAGAGACCTGGGGCTGGGTTTGTGAAACCACTGACCCAAGGGACTGTTTCCTGGGTAGGAAAGATCAGAAGAAACTGTGGCTACAAACAAGAACCTCTGGTTTTCTGGATGCCTGGGATTTATTCATGAATGTGTCTTTTTTTTTAAAGAACCAGCAGATTAACAAAGGGCTGCTGAAAGAAACTGGTCATACGCATCCCACAAGTAAGGTGACTGCAAAACCAACACACTTCATATGGGTCAGCAGAGCCAGTTGAAACCTATTTACACAAGGAACCTGAGCCAGGGAAATAACCTGAGTTTCTGACACATTTAACCACAGAACGTTCTGTTTTCTGGGCTATGGCTCCTGATGGCATCTGCTCCGCAGGAGCCCTCCCTTCCCCAGGCTGAGGGCACCATCCCTCCCACCCTCCTCCTCGGGAGGGCTGCGAGGAGCGAGCCTGTCCTCACACTGCAGGGCTTTACACCTGCGTGTGCACGGAATCTTGAAACTACCCTCCGTTCCTTTTAAGCACTGGTACATCTACAGTTCTACCTGTAAACCAGAAGTTAACATTATTTTTTCATTTTAGAGCATGAACTTTCACTCGATGCATTTCCAGTGGCTGAAGTGGAGCTGGAGTTTGGCTTCACCCATGAGAGTGCAGTGGCAGAAAAGGTTATGCTCTATGGTAAGCTCTAAGTTTGTCTTTCACTTTGGATTCTTGAGTTGATGGCATTTGCTAATTTGCAGGATTTTCCTCACATTAATTAATTGTATTTTAGAAACATAGAACAGCTGGGGTTGGCATCATGGGGCAAGGGAAACCATTGCATGTCAGTCTTCACGAGCCCCAAACCTCTGTGCAGTGAGAGCAGCTTTCGGGTGTGCAACTGGGTTGCGGAAGATCTGCTGCTGGGAGGACAAATGCTTTGACCTCAAAGCTGGGCACTCGCTTTTGAAAGTTGCTTTCTGCCATGGTTGGTAGGTTCAGGGCAGAGCGGGGCACCCAGGTGCCAACTTTAGTGGGGTGATGTGGGTGCTGCCCTTTGGCTGGTGAGTCCCCGCAGCTGAGCCCGCAAAATGCACCTTAACACCCCGACTAATCCCTGTGTCACTGTCGTTCCTTCACATTAGTTTAATGACTGCTTACTGCCCTGGTGATGGATGATGATGATGTTTTTAATAATGATGCTGTTAATAATGATGATGATAATAGTAGTAGTATCAGTAATAACAACAACAACAATAATAATAATAATAATAATAATGCAAACCCAAGGACTGGCAGATGCTAATTGTTACCCTCCCTGGATGAGATGGTACCAGTTCCCATCCTCACTGTGATTTTCCTCTCTGGTTCCTGCCATGCTGGCAGCTCTGGAGCACATTGAGGGACCTGGCATGCTCCCCCTTGCTTGTCACCAGGTGACCGTATCACCGATAAATGATACGTGTGCGCTGGAAAGGAGGCAAAGAGCCTTTGTCTGCTTTTAATCTATAGTTTTAAATAATTAAGCAAGGCTAATTCTGGTATTTATAATGCAGTAAGTTGAACGTAACTCGATGTGGCTGCCTCAGGGGAGCAGGTGTGCGTGCCCCAGGTCCCCTCACCTTTGCTCAGCCCTGATGCTCAGGAATAAACCCCGTGAGGTCGCGGGGTTGGAAAGGAAAGAAAAACCTCATGGAACTGTAAAGCAGGGCAGGGGACACGGCCCTGCAGCTTCCAGAACTGCTGCCAAATGTCACCCCTGTTCCAGCCTCTGCCTCTCTGCTGAGCACATGTTGGGGATGGGACTCCCCACCAGTACAGCCAGTGCTGCGCACCAGTATAGCCAGTGTTCCCCACCAGTACAGCCTGTGCTTCTCACCAGTACAGCCATTGCTCCCCACCAGTACAGGCAGTATTCTCCCACCAGTATAGTCTCCCCAGTCCAGCCAGTGCCCCCAGTGCTGCCCACCCTTGCCGAGTGCCGTGCCAGCACTGCAGCCTGCGGGGCTGGGGTCCCCCCTTTAACCTGCATGAGGGGGGGGCGCAGAGCGGGCACTGGCTCAGCTCGGGCTGCTCACACCCCGCCAGCTGCCATCACCCCAAATGTGAAAGACCCCGAGTGTCACCACGGTCACCTGCTGGGCTCTGCACTCACGCACACGTATTTGGAAGAGAGAAATCCCGTCAGGTTTGGGGCTGGCTGAGCCTTGTAGAAGTTACTGGTCCCCTGTTTTGTGTTGGCTAACGCTGGAAATGCTTGTACAGTCAGCAGCAGCAAGATCCCCTCTGCCTGCAGGCAGGTGGGGTTGGGTGTGCTGGTTAATCATTTCGTTTAATTACCCTGGACTGGGATAAGCAAAGATAACAAGGCTGGGATCCCACTCTGTTAGCGATCACCGAGGGACATCAGCCCCGTGCCTTTTGCAAGTGGCATGTGGAGCAGCTTGTTTAGTTTTGTTAAGCAGTGACAGATGCTTAGCAGCATTTCTCCATCACAAACTTACTTTTAATATCACATCAAATATTTGCTCTGTGCATTTGCTTGCCAATGATCGAGATGCCCATCAATCATTAATTGAAGTTTTAAGGTAGATCAAAGGTATTTTGTTCAACACGGAGAAAATCCTCCCCTGTTGATTTGCAGGGATTGTATTTAGCAAGTGCCCCCTGCCCGACCCAATGCCTCTCCAAGAGGGTTTGAATGGCAGTTGTGGGTTTGCTTGGAGAATTTCTCGTGGGATACAGGTCTGTTTGGAAAAGCAGAAGGGCAGCTTCTCAACCAGCTACTGAAGTATTAAAGTAACATGATATCTCTAAGAAAATTTAAACAGGGTCCAAAGTCACCTATGCATAAACCTGTATGCAGCGCAGACTGATCCCACCGGGGCTCAGCAGCCCGTCCCTGCAGGGGGGAGCTGGCAGAGAAGCGGGGACCCCCCGGAGCAGCTCGGGGGACCCTGGACTTACCTGATTTCCGCAGCGTGGCCCTGGGGAGCCCAGGGGGCAGGTGCTGCCCCGCACCCCACGACATGGGGCTGCGGGGGCTGAGGCTGCCGCTTCTGCCCGGCTACGCTCGCGCCTGCGTGACTTTTGGCCAGGTCCGACGAAGCTGCCTGGCTCCTGCCAGGTCTGTCCGGCGGGAGCAGGGATGGGGCGTCACGTGGAGGTGGCTGCTGCACTGGTGCTCCCGACCCGCTGCTCTTGCCACCCCACGGGACCCCACCAAGGGCTGGAGCTTGGCTAGTAGCAGCCGGTGGCCTTGCCCGCTCCTCAGTGCCAGTCCCAAAGGTCTCTCTGCTACCCTGAAAACTTGCTCGCTTTGCTGCTCCTTGCTGGATGATGTTTTCCCAGGACGGATGAACAAGCTAATCGTATTTTCCCCCCTAAAGCAAACAGCTCCGTGTGTGCCCAGGCGCCCGAGCAGCCTGCTCGGCACTGCCACTGCTGCCAGTGGAGAGGTCGTGTCCCTGCTCCACGGAGGACGATTTCTCCTCGGTGTGCCTCAGCCACGCTCCTGGAGAAATCAGATCGCCCCAGAGGAAGCCGCACGCCCACTCTCTTTAGCAACCACTGCAACAGCCAAGCCCGGCACCAGGGCAACCGCTCGAGTTATCGTGATTATTCCTTGGCGTGTTGCAACACCCCGTCATCTACCAACTGCTGCACGGTCCAGGGGGAGCAGCTGCTGCACCCCATGGGAGGGAGGAGCAGCCCCTGCATGGCATCAGGGCTGTGGGATGCTGCTACATGGCTGCCCCGGGTCTCATCTCGCTGAGATGCAGCCCCTGCCCGGATCGGGCCCCTCATCCCCCTCCCCACTGCGGCTGGAGGTGCTGTGTTGGCCATCCCTGAATTGCCATGGCCTGGGAAACCAGAAACTGCAAAGGTGGGAGAGGAAAAGGATTTAAACCATCCCAGCAACTCCTTCTGGCTCTTAGATGGGTGCTGCAGTCCAGCTCTGCCCCGGTCACCCCGTGCCAGCCTGCAGATGCCGAGTGTTTTGGTCCCAGGAGGTGGGCAGGGATGGGGTGAAACCACTTCCACCAAGAGGAAGGGTGTAGGGGAAGCTGGGGAGCACTGCTGTGGTGCCCACCGCAGTCACACGCCATGGCACCCATGGGTGCACACACTATCCTGGCCTGACGCTCCCGGCCCCGTGAAGGTCTGGAGAAAGAGGCCAGGCTGCCATGGGCACGGGGGTGCTTAATCACTTATTTTCGCCACTCCGCATTTTTCTCCTCTCCACATCCCAGCTTTTTCTCCCACCCCGGTCGTGTTTTCCAGCCGAGGGCTCAGCAGTGCCCCCAGCTCGCATCGCAAAGGCCTCCCGGGGCAGCGCCGGCTGCTGACACTCACCCGAGCCACCACTCCCAGGGTTCCTGCTTCCATTTGGACACTTGGACTGAAGGGAATATTCTTTCTGTAAGAAAGGACGAGAGAGAAATGGGAAAGGACTGTACAGGTATTTCTCTGTTACAGGAGATGCCGGTCATTTGCTATTAGAAACTTAGAATTATTATTTTTTTTAACCTCCTGACCAGGAGCTGGTAAATCGAATTGACATGCAGCATCAGAAGCAGGAGGTAGGAGGCAGGCTGCTCTGCATTCCCTTGTGTGTGGTGTACACGTGCTGGTGTGAGCATGGCCAGCCTGACCCGACCAGCCGTGGGTTAGCCACGGGCAGGATTTTGAAGATCCCACACAGCTTTTGCCCCTAGAGCAAGGCTGTGCTGGAGGAGAGGGCTTTAAGCGAGGAGGTTGTGCAGTTTGTCTGATCAAACTGCAACCCGCCTCACAGCCCACGTCTGCCCCAGGAGCTTTTCGTGCCTGTGCAGATTCCCCTCACATCGCCCATTGCCCCGTAGCCTGGCTGCTCGTTGCACACTCCCCCAAAAAAGTTTGTCTCAATTTTGAACTGAAAAAAGAAATGGATGCACATCTGTATTACCCCCCCTTGGGCTGCCTTTGAGTAGGCTAAAGCTCAACACCTGGTTTTGGGCTTTGGGTCAGTGAGTTCATTGGAGATATGTCAAAGGGGGTGAAAAAGCATCAGTTTAAACCCTCTGAGTTCCTGTGTAAGTGTGGTTATGGCTGTCAGATGCGGGACAGGAAAGGGGCTGTGATCCATCAACACCTGCTTTTGACTGAGTAAAACAATTTGGAAAAAGGCAAGCTAAATTTTCTGGACGTATTTCTGTGTGCTACAACCTAGTGCCTGGCCAGCTGCACATCTGGGCTCCTCTCTGCAGGGAACTGGGTTTGTGAGGTGCTTAGGACCTGCTGTCCTGAACCGAAAGGCTTTTCACGGCAAAGCTGTTTTTCTAGAAGCTCCTCGCACAAAAATTCTCTTTGCTATCTAAATTAGTAAGCAATCTCACCCTGTGCTCCTGAGTCTTTGGGATTAACAAAAAGCCTTTGTATTCCCCCTGTAGCTCCCTGAAGGTTGTGTGAAGGTGGCTGATTGCTGGGGGATATTTATCTGGAGTCGCTCCTGCAGACACGGGGTTGCGTCACTCCCCAACTGCCCCCGTGTTTCTTCTGAAGTGGCTCCATGTCCCAGGAGAAGGTGACACGGGGAGCTCGCCCCAGCATTTCTCATTGTGGCTTCTGTGCCTTGCATGGTTCCATGTTGCTGTGAGTGCTGCCGGGGGGTTGTTTGGAGGCGTCACCCCCCGAGGAGTGAGCTCAGGGGAGCCCCAGTGCCAGGAGCTGGTAGGAGAGCTGAGCAATTCTGGCACAGCTTTGGCACAGCCCTTCTTACATGAGACCTCGTTTCTTGGGAACTGGACTTTGCCCTGCTGAGAAAGCGATGTGTTCTTTTCATTCAACATGCACGTAAAGAGAAACTAACGCTGCGCACGCGGAGCGGCACTGGTGGGTGGCTGCATGGTTGGTTCATGAATGCTGTGACGAGGAGGATGGCTCTGGGGGAGCCCACAGCCCGCTCCTCATTACCGGGGCTCTACATTAGATGGACTTTTAGCTGCTAAGTTACTTTGCCAGTGATGTTGGCTGCTGGCTGTCGTTTCTCTAACCAATTGCTGCAGCAACAGGAGCTTTCTCGTGCGGACACGTCTCCTGTGTATCAAAAAACCCCCAGACATGTCAAGTGAGTACCCAACACAGATACTGGCTTTTCCATGGTTGTGCAATGCATCCAGCCGACGTGTGTGCAGTGACAGCGAGATAACAGTGCCGCCGAGATGGGCTTGCTGTCTGCCTGGCCACAGCGCTGAGCAGCCTCGATGCAAGCTGGGAATTACAGAGCAGACAGCTCTGCCTGGCCCTGCCTGCCTGTATCTTTATTAAATCTCCACTCTCAGCACAGGCTTGGGAGTGCAGCATCGCTGCCAGTCGTGCCCAGGCTCCCCATCTGCAGACAAAATTCTGGCCCTGCTGAAGTCACCCGGGGCTGGGACTTGAAGGTAGACAGCTTTTCACCTCCTGCTGCAGGGAGGTCTTGGAGGCTGGTTAAACATTTCCTCCGCTGGGTTAATGCTAGACATTGGCTGAGGTGCTGCCTGCGATGAGCAGCCCAGACCTCTGCTCCATGTGCCCCTGACAGACGTCACGCTGGTTGCACTGTGACCTTGGCAGTGGCAAAGCCAAGGGCAGGGGGAGCGTAGGCTGGTCAGAGCTCTGCCTGGTCCCCGATACCCTGTCACCCCTGTGGCACGGGGTGCCTGGAATTGCACTCCTGCTAATCTCCACTCAAGCCATTAGTGTGTTTGCAGAGCAGGACGGTTTCTCGCACCTCCCCAGCTCACAGCCGGGAGTTAATGATTGCTCGGGTGATAGAGAATTTTGTCTGCTCCCCATGGGAGAAGCACGGGACTGGACTCTGTCCCCGACCCAGCTGGGCAGGGCGATGGCTACTACAGGAGTCAGATGGCTTCATTTGTCACAGTGAAGGCTTACATGGGGAGAGTCTGTTACAGTAAATTGGCAGAAAATGCCTGCTATTTCCCCAAACCTCCTGTATCCCTGTGAAAATCACTTCTGTGTGCAGTGCAAGTGCCTCTTGCCAGGGGTAAGGAGTAGTAATAGAATCTGGCATCGGATGGTAATGCTGTGCCCCTCTGTGGGTGAGCAGGACAGATGCTGTGCCGGGGGGATGAAGGAGGAGCTGCCCCAAGCCCACCCAGTGCTTCCATCATCATCATCAACAACCAGCCTGCAGTGGCCCCAGCCAAGGAATTTCTCCAGCGAGAAAGGGAGGATCCTGGAGACACTGGGAGCAGGAACCTGCAGGCCAGCTCTTGCCTGGGATCCCCAGCCTGCTTGGACCATGTCAATGAGGACGCCCACCAGTTTAGCTGGAATTAGCCTGGTTATTAAGTGGGGTTAAGCACAACAAAGCAACATAAAATATAAATAGTAAGTAGTCTCACGTTGTACTTTTACTGTTCTGTGTTACTCCCAAACATCCTGGGCATTATTCTAGCCCAGCATGACCCTTCTTGGCCCTGACTCTGATGCTCAGCGAAGGGCTCCTGCAGCACATATCTGGAGGCAGTTTTGCAGGTGTAGGCTGCTTTGAACCACCAGCTCTGAGCAGGCATCCTCCTCCGTGGCTCCCCTCTCGGGGAGCGCTGTGCTCCTACTGCAGCTCGAAGCCAGCCTCCCTGTATAAACCATTCATCAGGGTTACTCGTGCTACGCGTGGGTGCTCTAATATTTACTTGCAGCAAAATTGATAGCTGGTAATTTTGGACCGTGTTTGTTCTTTGATGAAAAGGATTAGGAAATGAGCTGTCAACGTGGTCAGAGCCTGAGCCACGCAAAGGGGCGAGGAGGAGGATGGCTTCAGGCAGGTTCAGTTCAATACAGGTGCCATTAAGGTGCAGTATCAGAACCTCTGTATTGCACTACAGCCAAAGTCTGAGCTCATGAATTAGGCAAGAAATTGCTGTAATCAGATCATGGTGATAAAGAGGTATTAGTGGGCAAAATGCCACCCAGGCTGAGAACTGATGCGAATCTCCTGCAAACCCGGTTTTGGGAGGGAGGTACCATTAGCAGGGTTGGAAGTTGCCTAACCTCTGTGGGAGAAGATGGGCTCAGAGAAGGGTACTTTGTCCATAAGGTGCTGTAGCAGCTGCTGACATCGGTGTTCAATGAGTGAACACTTCCATTGATTAAAATAGCCCTTAACCCATGGGCTTCGAACAAAGTTGTCATGACCTGGAACAAGGCATTGATGGTTGGCAGATCAAAGCCAGCATTTCTCTGAGTGATGCAGCCACAAAACCACATGATTTAGAGGTTAGCCAAGTTGTAGTCTACTACGGCTTTGAATTAGCCCCGAATACCCTCTTGCTGCTCCAGGTGTTCTGTATGAAATACCTCTTACATGCTCCCGGATGCTGAGATACTGTCTAAGCTGTTGCCCAAATCTCCTGTGTTATTGCTGAATTCTGGTCTATCTGTGCTCATTTACAGCAGCTGGGACTGATTCCAGGGACCTCAGTGAAATCACCCACTGGAAGAAACTTTTGGGGATTAGTAAGATTTTTTCCCATCTGTGATGTCAATGCACAAAAATCTGTCAGCCCGATTGTTTTGCTGCAAAGCCTTGCCATGTGAGGTGCTGAGGCTTATTTGATTCAGCAAGCTGGTGCACATGTTTGCCGAGATGATACCATTTTCTAGTTCAGGAGAAAACCAGAGCAAATCAGCAGCATGCCCCAACGCCTAATGTTGCTTTTAACTGCCTGCTGGCCTTAGCCAGCGGATGGGCTGCAGTTTGGGTGAATTTCTGAAATTTCTTGAGGGCTAGGAAAGGCAGCATAACACCCGCTTCCTCCAGAGCTGGCAGATGGGGCTCTGATGGAGGTCATGATGTAGCTGCTATCAGGCTGTTGTGAGAAACTTGAGTTCCTCTCTCTTGCAGGGGCAGAGCAATACTGGGTTTGGGAGAGTTACTCCCCCTCGGGGAGCTTGACCGTGCACATTCCTCTGCTCCCAGCTCATTATGGGACACTTATTTTGGCAGGTTTTGCAGTCGGGACTGGCAGGCACCCAGGAGTCGATGTCCGGGCACATCCCTGAGCTCCTGAGCCAGTAGCTATGAAATCTGCTGCCGTGGCCTGCCCTTGTCACGGGGAGGGGTCTCAGCAGGGTCCCTGAAGCACCATGAATCCAGGGCTTGCTCCAGCCCAGCGCCAGCCCCGTCTCTCCCTGTGCCGGGCTACCCGCTGCTCTGCCGCCCTTGCCCAGCCCTCCATACGCACCTGCCCGGGGGTGAGCAGGTTTTCCAAGCGAAGCTGTGAGCTTGTATTACTCCTGGTCCCTGGCCACAACCATAGCTGGTTTGACGATCATATTGCAAAAGGACTCTAAGAAATATCAAGTTATTGGTGTAACGTTTCATTACCGGTCTTTCGACCTCTACAAGTCTGCAGCATTTCTTGGGCTAAA